CTATCTATCTATCTATCTATCTATCTATCTATCTATCTATCTATCTATCTATCTATCTATCTCCAGGAGTGTCAGACCAGAACTGGGCACTCTGCATTGACCTTAAGCCACTTTTCACCATCCCTGAACACATTTGAGGGAAAGTTCTTTTGAAGCTCTTTAGGAAGAGCTTCACACACCTGAGTAACCTTCAGTCTTTCATGTCCACATATTTATTCTATAAATAAATGTATGCATTTTATAGTTGCTGGAGGTCACAGTAGCTAACCAAACTTCATAACTTAGATTAATGTAAAATTTAACAATTAAACCATTAAAAGTATCAGTTAGCCTCACAGTTCTCTCAAATACAGTTGATCCTTGAACAGCATGGGTTTGAAAACAGGGAGTTTTTTCCAACTCCTCTCTCCACCCGTCCCCCACTCCCATAGTCTACTCAAAGTGCAAAAGAGGAAGATGAACTTTTATGATGCTCCACTTATTATTTTCTTAAGAACATTTTCATTTTTCTATCACTTTATTATAAGAACACAGTATATAACCATATAACATTCAAAATATTCTTCCTACTGTTGATATTATTGGCAAGTCTTTCATTTAGCAGCAGGCTATTTGTAGTTAAGTTTTGGGGGGAGCTATAAACTATACATGGATTTTTAACTTCATGGACATCCCTAACACTTGCGTTGTTCAAAGGTTAATTTATCTATGTTAAGAATGAAGGTTTCCTGTATATAATTCATACATATACTTGGAGAAGGGGGGGATATGACCAGTGGATCCCCAGAGAGCGTGTAAATAAGCCTGGGGGCCAATGTGGTAAACCAGTACACAACCCCTTTCACTCTGCAGGGAGTGGTAAAAGCTCAGGAAGATGATAGGAAGCAGAACCCCAGAGCCATTTGTAACCCCTCCAATTAAAAAAAGATCCGGTAGTTCCAGAGTTCATCTCTCCCTCCTCTGCCTCCTACCCCTTCCTCTTAAGTGGTGTGTGATGGGGATATTGCCTCACTCTTCAAGTCTGACCTTGCCTAGGTTTCACTGTGCCAAGATTCTCCTGTCTAGCCATGTTGTAGGAGGTTAAAGATGAGGAGAGTGGCTCAAGGTCTCACCTTCTTCTACTTCTCACAGATGACACTGGCTCAGGAAATTGGGGTGGTTCATAACTCATTCCAGAATTAGAGACCAGTTTCTGGAAATCTGGATGATTTCCAGGGCAGTGGGGACATTGTTGGAAAAAGGGAAGTGAAGGATGGAATGAGACAGAGGAGGAGATTAGGAGATGGGGCCTTCAGGTCAGGTGACAACTTGATGAAAGGAGAGATTCATCTCTTAGAGTGATAGCACAGTGAACAAAGGTGGACATGAAGATTGTCTGCTTGTTCAGTGAGAGAGTTACCATCCAGGTCCAGTCCAGAGCTTGGAGGAAATCTGGTTTAACCAGGAGATGGAGGTAGGGCCAGTGAGTCTGGCAGGACCTGGAGCTGCTTCCTGCTTCCTGTTACTCTTCCTATAGTAGAGCCTGGGGCTATGGCTCCTCTTGGTTCAGCATTATCTACTCCTTGTGCTGCTTGCAGGCATATATGTATTTGAATGAAGGAGAGAAGTTGTTGAAAACTCTCAAGAAAGGAAAATCTTGGAGTCAGACTTTTGAGTTTGCCACATTTTATAGCCTCAAAGGCCAGGTAAGAATCCATTAAAACATGATTCATTTGTTATATGCATGGGGCTTTCATAGAAGAAGGTGTCATCCCTCAGCCTTCTACACCCTTCTCCCATCCCCAATTCTAGCTCTTACCTCAGGCTTCAGAACCCCAACCCCTGGACTCAAGCCTCCCCACTACCACTTGCCAGCAGCAAGATCATCCCTGTCTTCTCTGTTGATAGCATTAAGTATTTTTTTTTTTTTGAATTGAAGTACCAGTCTACAACACTGTATGAATGAGAGGCATAGACTCACACCTCATCACATACCACCCCATATCTACCAAGGCACCCATAGTCTTCCACCATGTCTACTGGGCCCCTCCATATTTTACACTCTACCCTCCTGATACCTTCCTGACTGTGTAATACACAGTCAGATTTCTAGGTTTGGTTTAAGTCTCACTCTTCTCTATATTCCACAAATCAGCAATACCATGCAGTATTTATCTTTCTCCTTCTGACTAATCTTGCTTAGCATAATCCCCTCCAGTTTCAACCTACCAATTTCTAAAAGTGGACATGAATGGGTAAACATATTCTTGGCTTTAGATGATGTTCAACAAAGATGCTAAACCCTAGTCACTCAACCATCCTTCCATGCACACATTCAATAAACATTGGGCCAGGCACAGGGTTGGGGTGGGGGGTGGGGGTTCCTAAGCTAGAAATCACCTTTTTTGGGGGGAGAAGGATTCTAAAACATGTACTGTTGGAACACATCCCAACCAAGTCCTATGTCACTGCTTTCCCTCTTTCTCTCCTTTTCTCTTAGGTCTGTTTCAACATGGGCCACATGGTGCTTGCCAAGGAAATGCTGAGGAAGGCACTGAAGCTCCTCAACCGAATCTTTCCTTATAGCTTAATCTCTCTATTTCTCCAGACCCATGTGGAGAAAAATAGACACTCTCATTATGTGAATCACCAGGCCCAAGACAGCTCACCTCCAGGGTAAGGGAAGGGGCTGGGAGAGATGGATGTCTTCTTTCATGCCCAAAGGAGAAAAATCTCCAGTTGCTCCAAAGGTCAGCCCTGAAGCTGGGGTCTCTAGGAGAAACAAGGAGTCCTGCTGGCCTGCTGGCGGGGGTGGACACCAATGGGGCCAGGGTTGGAGGGGACAGGATGTGCAGACCAGGGCTGGGTTGCTATAAACAATTTACTGACAGCACTTACCAAAGAGAGTTCAAGTGACAAAAAGTGTTTGCCCTTTTCAAGGTGAGCTTCAATGCCCTCTCTCTACCCACCTCTCCCAAGGCCTTCCATGGTCCAGTGGGAATCTCACCACCACTCCCGGAGGCCCAGTCACAAGCCCTTTTCCATTCCATGCTAAGGTACTGGGTATCATCCCCTCCACAAAGAAAAATAGCAGATCCTGAAGACATTTGCCAAAAGGCAAATTGTCCCACCCATCTAAGTATCTCAAATAGGCTTGTGGATTACATGGAAATATCCATCAGACTAGACTACACCATTAATATTTCTGTATTTCATTGTATGTAAATTTTATGTGTAAAGGAACCATAAGAAATAATAATGGGGCCCTCCCTGGTGGTGCAGTGGGTTAAAGCACTGCACTAAGAAGCTGAAACCACTTCCGCATGAGTTCGATTCCCGCCTGCCCCGGAGGTGACCACATGGTGTGGCAGACCTCTCCTGACCCACCCGCTGCTCCCCTCAGCAGTGTACTTCGTTGATCTGCCTGTTCTGCTCCCCACTCTGTCTCTGGTGAAGTCTTTCGCCACCCCTGCGTCTCTGGCCTGTACCCCAGTTCTGTATGCACAAATAAATAAATCTTTAAAAAAAAAAAAAAGAAAGAAATAATAATGGAGTGGGGGAAGGAGAAACAGAATGAGTGGAGGGATAGATGAAATAAGAAGTTGATAGTTGTTGAAGCTAAGTGTTGCATGTATACAGCTTGTTATATTTTTCTATTTTACAGCCTGTGTGTACTTGAAGTTTTATGCAATGAGAGTTTTAAAATATATTCCCCTTATCTAGAAGCTTATAATAAGGAAGATGCCCCCTTAGTTGGGACCTGGCGTGTCAATAGGGGACTCCCATCTCTTCCATCTTGAGAGAGACCAGTAGCAATACTCCACAGTTTCTGTCTGAGATGCGAACACCTATTCCTGGGAGTACTTTGCTACAATTCATGCAGCAATAAGAAGCAATATATATAATGTTAGAGCAGCTGTGTCCTTCTGACCACCCTGTATTAGAAGGGATGTTATCTTCTCCAAGTTTTCTTTGAACTTTTACAAAATAATTTTCACAAGCAACAGTCAACAAAGGACCAAATTTGAAGTTTCTTGATTTCTTTAAGCACATTTAGGAGAGTTCTTCCTTCCTTCTCACCTTTATTTAAAACCTGCTTTTTGGTAAGTGCTTCTAGTTATATTTTGCTTTCTTGATTTGGTTAAGTTACGAGAACAGCCATCCTATGTACGTTAGCATTTTCTCAAAGAGAGAGAGAATTAAATGGCTTGTTGAGACCAGGACTGAGAACCCAAACTTAACCACAGGAGGTTTCCCATCCTTCCCTTGATTACCTCCAGCACAGGAGGCTCATCACCTCTTACAACATTCCATTCTGCTGTTGGAGTATCTTTTCAGCTGTTATGACAAAATCTCACATATCAACAGAATTCTATTGCTTAGAGGCTGGAAGTCTGAGGTCAGAGTATTAGCAAAGCCCAGTGAGGGCCTTTTCTGGGTTGCAGACTTTCAAGTCCTCACATTGTGGAAAGGGAATTTCTGTGGGACTTTGTTTTAAAAAAAATATTTATGGGCCCTCCCTGGTGGCGCAGCGGGTTAAAGCACAGCACAAAGAAGCTTAAGCCACTTCTGCATGA